ATTGTTGCATCCAGAGATACTGGGGGGTCAAGATTTCAAACAATAAAATTTAGGGATCATAGTTCATCTCATAACAGAGGACAAGATTTTTATGGAGGCCAATAATGTAAGCACCTGCTCCTAAACACATCAAAATTCCAAACCTTTAAACAAGGCAGGCATTCAACATAAACCACATTATTCTTACAAACAGTAGAGGCAAAATGAACTAGTCTTATCAGTCTGTAAATGGTATTATTGGCCAAATTCCCTGGTGCTAGCCAAGGACCAATCTTTTAAGTAGGCCTTATCTGTATGGCAGCAGTCTCAGGCCTGCTGTGTTAAATATTTTTGGATAATTAGGCTGACAAATACTAATTTATTTTCAAATTGTTGTCTATTTTATGCCAAATATACACAGCACATTTATTGTGATTTTTAAATTTTGCTTTGATTTTTAAAGTATATAAAAATTATAAAATATTGCAATTTAGTCCATAATAAGCAACTTGGTCACTCTTACTTATCACGTTTGGTCCTTTTACTCATCATCTAAACTTACAAAATTAAAAAAAAAACCTCAGAATTATCTAAGGACTTCACTTAAAGTTGACAGAGTACACGTTTCTTTCCCATAGTAAAAAATACAGACAGTCAAAAATAAGGAAAAGAAGAGGATAATCTCTGGTTTTTCTGAAATACAAAAAAATATTTATAGAGAAAAAAACTAGCTTTCACCATTACCTAAAACCAAAACCTATGAGGAAGGTCTGTGCAATATAGAAAGAGGATGCTAATGGAAGGCACATGCCTTCTCAGATCTCCATTGCAGGGAAGATGACAACATCTATAAAACACAAAACAAGAACATAGAAATGGGTATACCCTTTATCCAGCAATCTACACAAAAGGGTGCTTATTATGAAATTTGTGTAAAGTAACAAATTAAACATTCAAAAGTAGAAGATTAGTTAAATAAATTACTGTAATTACAGCAGTAAATTCGACATATGTATGGCTAAAACTAAATTAAAGTATGCTCATATGAAATGATCTTTGGGATATATTGACCATCTAAAAATGTAACATACAAAACTCTGATCACTGATCACTTAATACTGCATGAGACAAAGTTGCATGTGTATAATGATACACAGACATCTGTTGTTTGCTTCTAGATTGAGAGTATTATAATCTAAGATTAAAGGGTGACTTTATTTTTTATTGTATACATTTTTTCCCATACATGGATATTGCTTTACCAATTTAAAACGTGCCTCCTGTGCTTCTGAGAGATACCAGAATGACTAAATCAATTGATGGAAGGATGGAGTTTGAGAAAAACTATTGTAGAAATCCATACATCTTGGAATTTAAGATAAAACAAAGGATCAGATTGGTAATTGAGACTCAAATACTCAAAGATCATACACAGTATCAACCTTTACTAATAACTTCAAGGATATATGTAAACGTGAGGCACAAGTAGGCAAGGAGAGGTCTAGGATGTCTAGTGCAGTGAACTAAGTCATATCATACCCCATCAAATGCATTCTGTCCCAAGTGAACAGATGAGCTTTCCATGAGGTGTACAGACACCTCATCCTTGGCTGAAGGAGCCAATTAGGTTATGAAATATTTAATTGTATACTGATAGTTACACAGATTATGTAACATTTTCCAAGAAGCCATTATCCATAAATCCAAATATTACAGTTTGTTTATCCTAAATTGTTCTAGACAATTTAACACATTCTGCTAATAGTATCCCACAGAAAGATTCTTTTGCTAGCAAAAATCTTTATTGTTGCTGCTGCTTTGCTGGGAGATTAGTCATTAGTATGTTTATTAGAGGATTAATTTATGTCACTTGCCTTCTCTTTTTCCCCACAGTGTCCTCAGTGAGGAGAGAGAATGTATAGGGAAAATGCGACTTAAATTTCTTCTTTCCAGATGGCATGGATGAGTTCCATGAACACGCTGATCAAATATATTTGCTCTTGAACAAGGAGAGAGGTATTAACTATTATAGGCCAATAAGGAAATTAGTAACTAGAAAGTAATACACAGTGTAGTTAATTTACATTATTCTGTATAAAACACAAAAAATTACTACAATGAATGAAAATGATAAATAATTTTGACAAGTGAATGGTATCAGAGTGGATTATTGAAGTATGTGAAATAATTTAAGTAATGTATCTTTAACATCTGAGATAAAATCAAGAGGATAAATCAGTGCATTGATCACACTATAGCCTATCCCTCATGACTCGGCCAGGCTTAGTAGGGGTTATGGTGCAGAGCAAAGAAGAGGAAGCTATACCAATATGGTAGTTTTAATGTTTATTTTCCATTATTTTCTCTAATTTTACACTAGTGAAATCCAAAATGAGAAGCAAACATGTAAATACATTTTCAAGATCTAAGATGTAAGACGTAATTTCAATTAAAAAAATAATGAGAAGAGAGACTTGTTTATTGGTTAAGAATGATCCTTTGTAACAAAGCTCATTCCAGAGTTTTATAATGACAGGTACATTATTCAATTTCTTCAAGCTCAGACTTCCTTTTTGAAAAACAGAGATTCTAATAGCTGTCTCACAATGTTAATGAAAGGATTACACTTTGCCAGCAGACTACCACAGTGAGTGGTAGATAGTAAGCTTAGTTGCCCACTACTGTACAATAAACTATTCTAAAACATAACTACACAAAAAACAAACATTTAATATCTAACAGTTTCTATGTCTCAGAAAACTGCATATAGTTTAGCTGTATGCATCTGGTTCAGTGTCTCTTACAAGGCTGTGATAAAACTGTCAGCCACTGTTCAAATCTCCTCTGAAGGCTGAACTGAAAGGGAATTTGAATCCAAGCTCGAGCACATTGTTGTAATCAGGATTCAATTACTCAAAGCTATTGGCCTAAGGTATTCACTTTCTCTCTGGTTGAGGGCTAGAGGCCTGCTTCAGTTCCTTGCTACCTGGGCCTCTCCACCGATAGTTCACAATATGGCAACTTGGCTTCCTTCAGGGTAAGTAAATGAAAAAGTAGGATAAGGTTAGCGAGGTGGAAGCGTCATTTTGGAAGTGATATCCTATCACCTTTGACACATGCTATTTGTTATAAGCAAGATACTAAGTCCAGCCCACTTTTAGTTGTTGGAGATTTCATAAGAGTATGAATACCAGAAGGCAAGAATCATTGGGAAACATATTAGTGCCTGTCTACCATAGCAGACTTATTTAGGAATAAGTGAGGATATTATTATTTATATTAACATAGTTTTACTTAACTTGATTATATAATAGTAAATTGTTACTCTTCCTTACAGATAAAATTGCTAAATTGAAAGATTTTTCTTTTCTTTAGTACTGTGGTATTTTAATCCATTAAGTTTGTGGTAATTTGTTAGAGCAGTAATAAGGAACTAATACAGTGATCAATTAATACAGGCTAATAGAAGCTTTGGGTTAAGACTTCCTGAGGGCAACTGGGGGGTTAAAGAGTTTTCCACCAAAGGTCAATTTGATAAAACATAAGTTGTTGATGTAAATGGTGGCAAGTAGATGTTATAAGGCTGTGGCCATGGAGTAGATTCAAGGAAACCAATTTCAGTGATAAAATCAGCAGGACATAGGTACAATTCAATATAAGGGATAAAAGGAAAGGGAAATATTTAGAAGCACTCTTCAGTTTCTGACTTGTATAGCTGCTGGTGCTGTCACTGAGATGGGGAAGGAAGGGAGGAGAATGAGGCCTTTGTTTTTTCCTTTTTTGGTGAAGAGGGTGTGCCTGTGTGTGTGTGTGTGTGTGTTTTGAAATTTGAGTGCAGTGAATCTGAGATGGTCATAGAACATCCATGTGGAGAACTGGCAAGAGACTATATCTCAAGCTTTGATTTCAAATGTCAAGAGTTGTAAGCACATGGGTTGAATTAAAACAAGTAAAGCAAATTTAACACTAGAGTGTACTGATTAAGAAAACAGCCTCTGAGGCCACCCTTTAGTGAAAATTATCATTCTCCTTAATGTAGAAAAGAAAAGAACAATTACTGACAAGACATTCCTAAGGAATGAATGCTTAAAAAGTTGTTTAGTGGTACAGTATTTGAAGTTAGTAAATTCTCAATAAATGGTAGTTATTCTTACTAGATGGTATAGAAATAAAAGAGAATGGCAGTGGGCCAAAGGATGTATGAAGCTAAGTCCAAACGCCTGAGAGATCAGATGTAGTCTCTGCTCTCAAAGTCCTCGCAGTCTATTTAGCTTCTTAAAAGCAGGCCGTATTTTACTCACTGCCAAATCCCAGTGCTTAGCTCTATCACTGGCCCAAAGGAGGCGAGCACTTCAAATTTTGGCAGGATGGTTGAGAAGAGGAGAAAGAGGGAAGTAGGATAAAGAAGGTGAAGCAGAGAGGAGGAAGTGGGAGAGGGAGATCAAGAGATCTGGAAAAGAGGGAAGACAAGAGGAGACGGGAGGCAGTGGAAAGGCATTAAGGCGGTTAGGAAGTCAAGGGACCTGGTGTGGAAAGAAGTTGTGGGAGCCTGAAGATAGCTGTGGTCCCAGTGTCTGTAAGGGGGGATTGGTAGAATGGGCCTTACAAACACTCATAATGGATGTGTACTGAACGAAAGCAGAGCTCCTCAGAGGTCAGGATCAATGGGCCAACGACTTGCCAACACAACTGTGTATGTTGGGGTTAGGATTGGCTGAGGGGTGGTGGTCTCAGAGAAGAGTGACATTTGGGCTGTGGTCCTCCTAGACCAGGCCTCCAGGACCGATTCTGCCAACTCTAGGGGTGCTCAAGCCCCAGCGCAGGGCGCCACCCTTGGGAGACCTCTGCCCTTCGCCTCCCCCTCCCCCCCATTCGGAGCCTGGAACGCGTAGGGGTGGGGTCTCGAGGACAAAGGGCACTGGCCATTCCTGGTCCCGCCCAGACGAAGGGACGTCGGGGAAGGGGAGTGAGGACAAGCGGGAAGGGAGGGCGGGGCAGGGGCCTAGGGGGCCAGGCCGACCATGGAGCTGTACCTCAGCGCCTGCTCCAAGGCTGCGAGCGTCGCTGCCACCAAGACGGCCACCAGCGGCCTGGCTGC